AGCTTCCACTTCTGCACTTTGTCTGAAAAGCTGTCCTTTTCATGCTTTTTTGGAACTGCTTTGGGCTTACTCTTGGCTTTTGCCTTCTGTTCCTTCTCCTTCTTCTTCTCTATGGTTGGCTTCGCCTTTGGCTGTGGTGCTTTTGCTTTGCTTTTTGCATGAGGCTTGACTGATACTGCTGGCCTTTTCATGGGTGTCGCAGGTGCCATTCCTGCCGTGCACTTTTGGCAGGGGTAGCTGCTTCTTCTGTAGCTGCTTCCCTCTTGTTTGGTGAAGCCGTGGCTGGTCACCAAGTGCTACTTAGACCCCCACTGAATGCTACCTAGATTCACTTTTATGTTTGAGTTGTTCTATGTCACGTTTTGTCTTTCGTTGCGTCGGTTTGTTTTGTGTCCTTTACTTTGTGCTGTTTATTTTTACATATTTTTACTGTCATATGCACAAGAACACTTTGTTGCAACAAAGCAACTCTGGAGCCACAAAAGACAACGCAACAAACATAATACAAGTTGCCAAATGCTTCAAGATAGATAACCACAGTGGACTCATACTACTGTGCATGTAGTTGCCTAGTTTTTCATTTAGCCATTTCAACTAACCTACACGAACTTAACAAACAAAATCACAAAAGACGTAAGCAAAACATGAAACATATTATAACACTGACATAACAGTACTGAACACTGACTCTGACACAAAAGTGTCACAAAAGACACACAAAAGTGACACAAAAGCGACGCAAAAGTGACACAAAACTGACACAAAACTGACACAAAAGCGACACAAAAGTGCCACAAAAGTAAGACAAAAGTGACACAAAAGTGACAAAAGAGACACAAAAGTGACACAAAAGCGGCGCAAAAGCGACAAAAGTGACGCACACACACAAAATGTGACACAAAAGCGACACAAAAGCGACACAAAAGTGACACAAAACCGACACAAAAGCGACACAAAAGTGACACAAAAGCGACACAAAAGCGACACAAAAGTGACACACACAAAAGTGACACAAAACCGACACAAAAGCGAGACAAAACCGACACAAAACCGACACAAAAGCGACACAAAACCGACACAAAAGCGACACAAAACCGACACAAAAGTGACAACTTTTACATTGCAACTGACACTTAAAGTGTCACTTTTATTTAAAACTACACTGAAAAAGTTGCAGTTTCAAAATAATAGTGGCACTATTAGTGTCACTTTTGTGTCACTTTGGTGTCATAGTTGAATTTGACTTTTTAAAATGCAATATTTCCATATATTTATTGAGATATTGTTTGGGCTTGTATACGTAATATTGACCTATTTGGTGAAGTAAAATGCAAGGAGTACTGTCATCAGCTGTGGAGCGAGTACTGTCGAAGGAGTACTGTCATCAGCTCCGTCCAACTGCAGGTGTTCCAAAATGGTGTCAACCTTCTCTTTGGAATCGAAGGTGGCCTTCCTCATTGCTGTTGCGTAAGCTTCATGGTTCTTCTTGATGCCTCTGGCTTGTGCAAGCAAAACACGAATCCTTTGATCTACCTGGTCCACAAAGTCAGCTGTATGGAAGTGTGTTTTGTTGACCATTTTTGAACAGTCTTGGATCATCCTCTGTAGTGCTAGCTTAACTTTGGCTGACCTATAGTAGCCCATTTGGTGCAATCTTCAAGAAATACACCAACATTTCATGACATTGAGCCATCCATTGAGGACAAGAACTTGTCTTCCAACTCCACTGAGCATTGGTAGGATGCTTCAAACAAGAAAACAGATCTTTGCCAGCTCCTCTGTTCATTTCCTTTGGCAGCACTCTTTTGCAGGTCCATCACACCACTGGAAGGGTCCACCTTCATTCCCTTAGAGACGGCCATGTGTGCTACAGGTGCTCAAAGCAAAGAAAGGAGATGTGTGCGATGCTAGTTAGGACAAACATAGACAAAACTTGTTTCTTCATGAAACTACAACATCTACCCTTTTGTCAGTCTTGCTGATCCTCTGGAAGCTTGTGAGCCTTCCACAACACTTGACACCAAAAATACTTTGTGATGTGAGTTTGAAAGAAAATTTGCATGTTACTTAGGCCATGTACGGTTACCTAGGCCATGTTACTTAGGCTCTCTGCTCAATGTTACTTGGGCCACACACATTGCTCAAGTTTGTGTTTTTCAAAAGTGTGACCACAAACACCTAAAATGAACTAACAAAATGTCTTTACAAGATCTCAGGTTTTTCCAACATAATCTTGACATTCCAAGGTTGTTTAGCAAAATAGACTTGAGTCTATTCAACAAAATAGACTTTAAATTATCCCCTAGTTTATACTATTAGTTTATTTGAATTCTAACTATTAGTTAGAATTATTGAAATAGACTAATAGTTAGAAAATAGTCTAATCTGGTCTTAGAGGAAAGACTTTGATGTTTACCTGTGCCCAAGTGTCCTGGACTGGCAGGATGCTTGGGGGGTAATGAGGGGCGGCCTGCTTTCTTCTTTGGATTGGCTGGAAAGTAGGTCGCTGCGCCTCTAAGGGTTTGGACCCGAGAAACGGAAAGGTAAGTCTTTCTCGATCGTATGTTCCTTTTTAAGTTTTTTCTGACACATGACTGCATGCGCGGGTGAAAACACAGGGTGTGAGTCCTTATATATATATATTATATACATAATTCATATAGATATATATAGTTCAAACATTCGCTGCAAGCATTCATATGGAGCATGGATCACCACAGTTGCATGGTCCATGGTAATATAAAAGCAATGTTATGTATAGCCGATTTGCGTTCAGGTGAAGAACCTCTCGGGTCACCCATCCTTGCATGAAGCGGCGCGGAGGGGCAATGACAAGTGCGTCGAGACCCTTATGGCGTTGCCCGGCGCAGAACTCTTGTGACATGCAGCAGTAAGGAATAGAACGGATTGTGTGCTTGGGCCCTAAACAAGCTCCTACCTTACTGACTGCGTCGGCGTCTTTAAATGGCCTCTCTGTGGATCTATGGAAACTATTTACAAATCTGGCAGAAACTATTTACAAAGGCTGCTACTACTACTACTACCACCACCACTACCACTACTACCACTACCACTACCACTGCCACTACTAGTACTACTAGTACTACTACTACTACTGCTACTACTCCTACTACTAATACTACTACTACTAGTACTACTACTACTACTGCTACTACTACTACTACTACTACTACTACTACTACTATATACCCACAGATTAGTCTCCTGGAAGATGAGCCCCCAGATTAGTCATTAGTTTCTACCCCTTCCCCCGCTCCCACAGATAAAGAGGCCAACCCAGGCACTAACTCCTACCTGATTAGATTTATGTCGTGCTTTGGTGTGCTCTAGGCTGCATGACTTTGTAGAGATCGCGCCTGGACTCAAGTCCAGACGCGCAGTCTCAACAAGGTCTGGTCTTCATATTTTGACAGGTTGAATACCTCACAAAAGTGCTTTCTGCAGGCAACGTAGAGGGGTAGTGTAACAAAGGGTCTTCATATTTTGACAGGTCTGGTGCTCAGGGGATCCAGCTTATTGTTGAATTTGTTGAATATACAGAGGGATGCATGACTAGTTGCACGCATGCCCACCAAAGAAGGTGATTGTGGACTCACTAAGCTGGTGAATTGGAGTGCAGCCGTACAGGCTCCGCTTGAGAGTTAAGGCTTGGTGGCGCTTCTGAGCTGAAGGCCAGCACCAAGCAGTACGCAGAGACCCGTGGGCATAGCAACTCAGCAAGATATTTGTGATTCATATGCTGTTCGATGGGATGTGTGTTCAGCAGGCCGCAGGCCTTCTCTATCAATGAATCTTTCTCCACCGAAACAGTGATTGCCACGGACAACAGGAAGTGAAATTGGTTTTATCAGGCTTTAGACTTGGCATGGTGCGCTGATAGCCTTATTTGCACTTTCCTTCTCGAAAATCGTAGCCAGCCGACTGATTTATTCCGCGGTCAGGGATGGAAGGAATATGATTCATGATGGATTGCTGATGTCAACAGACGGGCTGTGAAAGCACCCACTAGGTGATATTGCCGACGCCTTAGTGGAGATGGAGAACAGGATCAAGCGCCAGCAGATGACGTAACTTGGCAGACTCCAGAGCCTTTCAGAACAAAGCTGGCAACTACAACAGCCTACAGTTGGTCACCATGGTCCTGTCCACAAGGGCATTTGGAAACACTGGGTGCCAACTGCTAGACATGAGGCAACTACGGGTGAAACTGGTCAAAGGAAGGATGTGTGTAGCTATGATGTGGAGTCAAGCGGAGTCCAGGCCCTCAATGGGAAAGAGATCATTTTTCTACCTGCATATTTGGTATATGAGTTCTGGCGTTTTCTTCACAGGATGTTTGGCGCAAAGTTTTGAATCAATCCCGGATTGCTCCCAGCTACTGAGTAGTGCTGCCCGTCAATGGAATAATATGCACCGATGCTCATCTAGAATCTAGAATCTAGGAGGCCCCTTCCACGCGGGTTTGAGCCTTTGACTGAGCTTTGAGGAGGCGAAACACACGCTCCATGTCGTTCTCACAATCTCTCCCGAACATCGCCATGTGAGATGTAGCAAGCGGCGCGCAAGCGGGGTTTGGGAGCAGTTTCACCTCAGGAAGCCCAAAGAACATCATATGAAATGGAGCATATTCTTTTTACAAAGACAGCTGTCCGGCCTTTCTGAAATTGGTGTTCATATCTGGTTTGTACAGATCGACACTGGTTGGCCAGCAGGCTCTAGTGGCAGCTCTGAGTCTGATTGCCGAGCTAAGCTCTCAATCTGAGCACGTTTGCCAAGAGCATTTTTGCTGAGCATCGGGAACAAGCAGGAAAATAATGATATTGCGGGCACATCTCCTGGAGTGTTCTGCAGCAGGTCTAGACGGTCCAGACGTAAGTAGACATGTGATGATATATATATATATATGGGTGTGGATATATGTTGCGAGCCGCTCAAGAGTTCTTATCAAATTCGACGGAACTCTTGATCACCATTTGCAGGCACTGCAGTTGCTGCCAACGCTTCACCTCGACCTTGCTCCGAGGCAGGTGTTCGGGTGTTTGAGCACAATGCCTCTTTGAACTGTCCTGCTTCAAAGGCAGATGACCTTCCGATCCTGGCCCAGCACTTGTCAGAGGCCAGCAAACCAGCATGCAGCATGCTTGGTATTGATACCTTGAATATCCTTGAATCATTGAACCTCAACTGCCGTGGCCACGTAACGCCACTTGGGAGGCATTGAAGGGCACCGGATCGCTTGCTCAAGAACAGCAAGCCGCTTCAAGGCCGGCTTGTCTTGGCCGAATGATCTCAGTTGAGCACTGACTGAGTGAAATGAAACTCTCGCGTGTTGAGTGCCGGGCATGCATCGGTGAGAGCTCTGGCAGAGTCAGGTGTGGTCAGGACGGAAGTGTCACCGCAGGCTATACCAGCACGACACCCCAGCATCACACTTGGGCCGGGCTGGGGTTGGTTGGCAGCTGGCGTCAGCTCTTTTGGCTGTCAGACCTGCGCCACCGGAGGAAGGTACAACGTCCGTCCTCGCTGCCTTGGTCCCGTGCTCTGGCTGAGGTCCTGCACGCCGCTGTGGCCACCACATGCGCTCAGCCGTGTTAACGCTGCGGGCAGACATGCCGGACATGCAGGCGGGGCATGGTGGGGCCACCAGCGCTGCTTTGGAGAGACAGGATAGGCACAGGGGACACTGTTCGGAAGTAGTGGACCTTGCAGCTGCCTTTGCAAGTCTTGGCACTGGTAATTGCTAGGTACTTTTGAGCTTAGTAGTTTACCACATTTTATTACATATACCCGTGTGGACCGCGTTGTGCTGCAATCCACAGACTTCTGAAATGCCACCAGCCAGGTGCAACATACCCTGGGAGCACACCCTTGGATGCGTTCAGCCTTGCTGCCTCGTTGGGGTTCCCGTCGATAGCAAGTAGTGAACGGTCTACTTGCAATTGCATGTGTGCTGCCATTGATCCCCATCAAGAAAAACGATTCGTATCAAATCTAACATCAAACTGTTTTCGTGGTGCCTTGGTCCCTCGCTTGCTTGGTCCGCTGCTTCCGATAGAGTGGAAGTTTGCCGAGGCTGCCCGCCAAATGGAGCCTCCAGGTTGGAGGCACGAGACCGGGTGATTGGTGCGGCCAGCTTCAATGATTGGCCTAGCACTTTGTAGGGGACTTTTATTGAAGCTCAGTTGATGCCATGTTGCCCAGACAGCCGAAAATCTCGAGGAGAATCCGTGTACTGCATCGTTGCTGCCAGTATCAAGACAGCAAGGAGGAGTGAATGATCCTTGCCGCAGTGCGCACGATTGTTTGATGGTTGCACAATTATGTACAATTGAATTATCATGATTATGATTTTGACATCATTTTCCCCACAAGGCTGCCCAGTAGCCGTTTCGCTCTCCCTTGCAGGACTCAGAGGCGTTGCTTCGCAGCTGAATGAAGACACACTTCCTGATGTGGACGAAACATGTGCTGAACAATCAGGACTCCATAGGGGCTACTAGGGGCTCCTGGCATCGCTACTAGGAGCAAGGACGCTACTATAATCCTGTTAAATGTCAGTGTTTGACGCCACTTCGGTGTGCCAATGGGATCCCCGCCTCAACTCCAGCATGCCCAAAGCCGTTTGGCAGGATGGAATCCTGAAACGACCTTGGAGCGCATCTTCGCACGATCTGCAATGATGCCAAGCGCTTGGGAAGCTGAGCATGTGACTGAAGGGCAGTTTACATTGACATGACATGATTTTCAAAGATTGTGGCACAGGGGGCCGCAGTACTAGTATCAGTTCGGCATTTATATAATGCCCGTGGGCAAAAAATGACGAGGCCGATAAGTCCATTGCCTTCCCTAGAGCCCGCGATGCCAGTTGGCTCCTCAAAAGTATGGCGGAGAAAGCCTTTGCACAGCAATCTTTGGATGTGAGCAGTCGTTGACAACGCATCAGGTACAAGCATTGTATACAACTAAAGTGTTCGTGAAGCTCTCGCTTGAACTTGACAGGTAGGGTCTATGGAGGAGGATGTCAGAATGCCCATCCTTTTGCACATCTACGATGCCCACTCCTTGACCAGTGCATCCCGTTCTGCATGACTGTCAACACTCTTGCTTACTGATGCCACCCGATGCCCAGGTCACGCAGGAGCCCAAAATTCAGCGCTTGAACAAGGCCGCACCTCTCAAAGCCAATGGCCGTGCAAGTTGTGTTGGGCCATTTTGACAGGGCTGTAGGCTGCTAGCTGCCTTCAGCCAGCAGAAGCCAGCCCAATTTTTCAAGAGACACCCACCACGACGTCCAACAAAGTGGCAAGCAGAAGTGACGTTGAATGGCTGCTCCAGTCTTTATAGATATTTGCGTGCAGGTGCACGGTGGACAGAGAGACGGATCGACTATGATTGATACTAGCGGTCGGCTTAAGTCGTATCAACCCCTGGAAAGTCGTATCGGGAGGCTGTGCGCTAGGCAAGAGTTGAGATTTGTAAGATTCGGACTTTCGGGCCCTGATGTGACTTCCAACTTTCCAGGCCGTACCACTGGGATGATGTGACATAATCCGATTGATGTGACTTAGCCACCATGCTCGTAGATCAATTAAATTGGGTGGACGATGAAGCCCGCTTCTTCACAGTGTGCTCCTGATTGTGGTTTGACATTGCCCCGCACCAAGGTGTTGGCCAACAAGCGGATGCCTCTGAAGTTCTCAGCTTACTTACTTCCTGTCTTTGTAGAATGCACTCTGCAGAATTGCTTGCCGTTTGCTGGGGCAAACCGTGTGGCCTTAATAAGTCCGTGATCACCATTGTCACAGGAAAGGAGACAGGACCAGATTCTAAAGCCTATGCCGATGACACAAAACCTGACACACCCCAGGGCCCACTAGCTTGGCAAAGAGGGAGACATAAGTTTGGCCTAAAGCCAAGCTTTGCAAAGCTGAAATGATGCCCTTTCACATCCTTTAACAGATACATGGCCCGCTGGCGGCCACTTTCTTTTAATCCTCGAGAAACTTCACCTTCAAGGTTTGGTGGCATCTTTCATGCTGGGGTGGAGGCACTTTTTTTGGGTCGGATGGCTTGGAGAACGACGAGGTCATGAGAGGTCATGCCTTGAGAGTGCTGCTCCACACTGCCGTAAAAAGTTCTAAAGGAAGTTCTGAAACTCCATGATTGAGGAGTTGGATTGATATTGAGAGACATCTGGCAAGTTTTCGCTACGACTAGAGGAGTCCGGCAGGGATGATTCCGGCCCGAAATCCATACGCGCAGAGAGACCCTTTAGCATCTCTCCCGAAAACGTTAGACTGTTAGACGAACCGTGCCAAGAGGCAGCACGAAACACATCCAATACAGCAGGCAACTAAACACTAGAGGGCAAAGTCTCCAGAGCCATCAGCATTAGCTTGCATTCCATCATGGCTACTGGAAGCTCAGCTCTGCCATACGAGCACCCTGTCCCCCACTGACATATACCAAACACTTTGAGATTGCCCCCTTTCTTTTTTCTGATAGCTCTACGCCCGAGCAACATCAGCAGAGCGACAGCTCTCGCTGTGTTGTATGAGGGCGGCATGTGACGTTTATTCAAGCGCTGGCCATGTTTGCCATGGCCCGAAGTTGGTTTTCCGCAGCCTGGCCTGAGGAGGGAGTTTCAAACGGAGAGCTACCTGCAGTTAACCAAAATGCAGACTGGCTTCAGAACAGTCACGGGATTGAATGTGCAGAAGTAGCATGCTTTTTCTTTGAACTCTTGCCTTGGCAACCTTCGATTTGGTCCCCTTGGGCTTTCATTCCATTTATGATGATCCATGTAAAGCCAAGCTTACTCTGCTTGTTGCGCTGGTATCGTTTAAGGCAAACTTAGGCAATTAGCTTCAGAGGACATAAGCCATCTCTTTAGACAGCCAACTCAGTGTCCTGACCCAGTGGTCAGTGCCCATTCAAGTGGTCCTCCCAGTCGGGTTGGGATAACTCGGAATAGATTAATTGACTCCGAGGCCCTTCTGGTTTCTCAATCTGCGGCATTGCCAGGCGAACCTTGGACAGCGTCAGAGTAAATTTTGGAGAAATGCAAGGATTTCAAATCCACTGTGCTTTTGATGAGAGAGAGAGAGAGAGGAAGGGAGAGAGGGAGAGAGGGAGGGAGACTGGGCAGAAAAGGTCTGTAGGGCTGGAACTGTCGCGACACGCTGTTTGCAGTGACTGGCCGAGGATGGTCTTGCTCAGAAACCACCTATGGGCTACAATTCCTGGAATGACTTAGAATGCAGGCCATCAGAGCAGAAGCTCATAGTCACTTGGTGTCTAAGGCATTTTGTCAGTGACATGTAGTGACTATAGACTCGTATAGACTCGTACTATATAACGGTTTGCCATTGTCAGCTGGGAGTGACGTGTGGGTGGCACAAGTGCCGAGGCGATCGCAGACGCTCAGCCGGATATCACATGGGTAGATGGGAGTGGAAAGGAGCTTGGTAGTAACAAGTGCCACGCTACTAGGAGCAAGGACGCTACTAGGGGCTCCTGGCCTTACTAGTAGTAACAAGAAGCTACTAGGAACAAGTGCCTTACTAGTAGTAACAAGTGCCACGCTAGTAGGCTGGCAGTTGGCTACCTAACTGTGCCCAAGACAAGCGCGCATGCAGACTGTAGTGTATCGTGTTTCATTTAAGCGACCACTGGACCTATTTTTGAAGTTCTGAAGGGGTGCAGGATGTGAAAACCGCTGCGAGGGAGATTTTCAGGAAAAGCTGAAGCTCTTGGGCTTTCTACAGCTCGGCTATGAGTACGTTGTGGTGGATGACTGTGGCCTGGCTGTGCCATTGAGTTCCATTCTCTGACCTAGCTACTCCACGCAGTCTGAGTTGGTGTCATCAACCTTGGCCTAGGTTGGATGATCAGCAGAACTGTCCAGGCCTCATACAGCTGCCACCTTCTTGTGTTTTTCAATCGGGGTGACTGATAGATGGAACTCGGTATTACGAGCCCGTGCAGCAAATTGGCTTGGATGCTCACTGTTCTCCACTAGACTCACTGGACATGTCTCGACCTCTGTGCATGTGTTAAAGATGATGTTGGCAAGCCATGGCAAGCCCAAGTCCAGCAGTCAAGCAAAACAGGAGCTGCTACCTATAAAGTATGTAAGAGTCAATGATACCAAGGCCAAGCCAATGACTACAGTAAATCTGTAGGTTCAGAAGATCGGCTACCTTTGCCATGCTGCGCAGTTTGCGTTTGCTTCGCCAGCGCTGCTTCAGCAGTAAAGCAGGGAAGCCCCGCTATACTCGGCCCAACACGCCGGCGGCGCCCTTGAGCAACTTCAGGGTGCCCCCTCCGGTAACGGTGCCAGCACACATTCCGCGGCCGTCCTATGCCGAGCACCCTCGAGGGCAGCCAAGGCAGTTGACGGCGGAGGAGTATGCGCAGCAGAAAAGCCCAGAAATCAAGCTGCATTTCAGGAACCACATAGAAAGTGTTTTGCATTTTTTCCTAGGCTTCTTGGCCTTTGGCTTTTGTGTTGCGAATGTATTGCCACTCCAAACGTAAACAGATCTTGAAGACTGACAGCCAATCATCGATTGTGCTCACTGTTAGTGGCACCCAGCCACATTGAACTTATATTGACAAACGATCAATTTCTCTTCTTGTTGGGCGCGTGGGTGATGGTTGAAGTTGAGGATGCTATTGCGCGGATGCGAAGGGCTTGTGGCCTGGCAGCGGAGGCGCTCCAGGTTGCTTGTGAGGCGGCCAAGGAGGGCGTGACCACCGATGAGGTAGACCGAAGGACCAGTGAGTTCATCATTGGAAGAGGAGCCTACCCGGCCACTTGGCAGATGATCGTTTGCCACATCCAAACAATTTACTGCACGATAAACATCGATAAACGTTATTTCCCTCTGCGCAACTGGCCAAACAGGTTGGTATCAACTACCATGGCTTCCCGCGTGGCTTGTGCGCGTCACCCAACGAGGTGGCCCTGCATGGTGTTCCCAATACGCGGCCCTTGGAGTCTGGAGACATCATCAATTTCGATGTCACGGTCTATTCAGATGAAGCCTTCGGAGATTGCTCTGCCATGGTTTGCGTGGGAGACATCGACGAAGATGCCCGTTTTCTGGTTGATGCAACCAAAGAATGCCTGGATGAAGCTGTCCAATTGGTGGGTCCAGGAGTGAAACTGAACCAAATTGGCCATTTTTGTCACACCTTTGCGCGCAAACGCGGCCTGCATGTCGTGAGCCAATTTTGTGGGCATTTCATTGGAAGCGAGCTGCACATGCTTCCAAATGTCAGCCATGTGCCCAACAGTTTGGCTCTAGAATTGCTTCCAGGGATGACTTTCACCATTGAACCGATCTTCTTGGAAGGTCAAAGCGCTGAGATCACTGAGGCCTTGGAAGATGGTTGGACGATCCTGTCCAAACATGGTGACTGGAGTGCGCAGTGGGAACATACTGTGTTGGTGACGGAACACGGGGCCGAGATTTTGACTCAAGCCCTGTAAGAAGAAACCGGGTGGCATCCCTCCGGTGCGACCTGGAAAACGTGCTACACTGATCTGCACTGTCGCTTTTCTGTGTGGGTTGCAGTTGGACGAATGCAAACCATGCGCCACACATGCCTAGCTTCAAATTTGGGCTTTCGGGGCTTTTAAATTGGCCTTTGTGAGAAGTTATGTCTCTCTTCATGGGACTTGAAACTGGCCGAGGCCAAAGGCAAGCTGAAATCAGACAAAGCAGCCTTTCCATCAGGACCGGATGTTGCACGAAAGAATGCCTTCTCTTCGATGAATCCAATTACTGTATGTAACCGATCCATTTTGTGGCACCGATCCTAAAAGGTATGAAAGCTTTGGGTGATCGCTTGCACGAATTGGGCTTCAAGTATGGCATTTATACTGACAGAGGCAGGGCAGGGTAAGTCCTCGGATTGTTACTGTTTTGTTGTTCCAGCCTTTGGTTAATTCATTCCCAAAATTCAGATTGCAGAGTGCCACTCGAAGCTGAAGGCTTTAAGACATGTGCCGGGCGGCCAGCATCCTTGGGGTATGAAGCTGACGATGGGAGGCGCTTGGGAGGGCAGTGATGCCGGCTCGGGACAGTAGGAGTATGTAGGAGTTGACTTCTTTTCAAAACCCAAACGTATGTCCGATGTTTACCTTTGGGGATGCATCCTTTAGAGCCTCCTTCATGGAGGCAGTTTGCTTCGTGGCAAGTGGACTTCCTCAAGAATGACGGCTGCGTTGATCCAGATTGCGTCGCACTTAGCAACTTAATCATTGGGTCCATAGTTGGGAAGATACGATCAGACATGCTGACGAAGATGGATGTGGATGGATTAGGATCAGTTTTCAAGATCTCGAGCAAGTGGACACCTTGCAATTCCATGCAATTCTCTTCTTTCCGCCCTTCGAAGCTGCCAGCATCAGGCGGTGACGTGATGGCAGCCAGGCTGAAGTTAGTCTCATTTTTTGGGGTCCACAGATGTGCCATTCGAATGTCTACGATGTTCCTGAATCGGGCCGTGGAGATCATGCGGCATCTCTTAACAGGGGAAGGTTTTGACCACTAGACCAAGAAATTGAATGTACCTACAGGCCTAGTTACAGGCCTATAAGTATAGTGAATGTTACATTTCTAGCGGACGCCGTCGTGACGTGAGCTCGTTTAGATGAGGCTGGGCACCCTCAGTCAGGGAAGTGCGACATCGAGGGCAAAAAGGCAACGGTACAGAAGTATCGCAGCTTGACTGGATGAGGGAGTTTTTGTAGCAGGCACCGTCAACAAATGATTGGCCGGTGTTCCAGTGCCCTTTGTGACTGATGTTTGACTGTTTGACTTGTGCATGTGAAGTGTTTCTTGGAACTGTATAATTAATTAAGGTCGAATGGCCGATGCAGACACCTTAGTTGAAAGCACAATGAGATTCAACCTTCTTGACTATCTCAGTGCAGGCTAAGAGGCAATTGTTTTTGCGGATGCTAGGGCCCGTTTCACACCTGATCAGGACGTTTTGGCCAAACCAACGGTGTTTGCGCTTCGCCCCTGTGAAAGCTTTTGCCCATTCCTGCACGAATTCTGGTCAGATTCACATCTGAACTGAGGCTTTGAACAGCAGTGGCCGCCCCATAGTCGCCAGACCCAATGGCATGATGGGACTTGTTTAAGCTGATTTCAACTGTGGGCTCAATGGGTTGGCCAGTCAGTCCAACATTTCTGCTTGACTCATTGCTGAAGCAGAATGTGTTCTTGTATAGCCCAGGTTCATTCGATTTGCGGCTGGAACCCTTGGTTCGCTGGGATTGGCCATCAGATCGGTCACATGTGGCGTCCAGCTCTCAGGGTGCAAAAGCTTCTAAGATGCTGCTCTTGATCCACTAAGCGTTGCATAGTTGATCATATTGATCAGACCTTGAGCCTTTCTGCACTTTGCGCGTGGTTTCTGGATGTTGTCCATCGCCATTTGGCTGAAGTGGCTTGAGCGCCACCTCGAACTGCATTTGGCGAGGGCGTGTTCGCATGCTTATCCCACGTTGTTGTGGCCTCGGCTGTTGCCAAGAAGCTCGTAGCATGCCTTGGCAGTGTGGGAATTTGCTGCTCCATGGTACTTCCTTGCTGATATGCTGCCATTGGAACTCCTAAGGTTTGGCTCTATGTTTACATGCATCATTGCAGCAGCAAGCTTATATAAACAAGCACGGCCTGCCTGGACAGAATCTGTTCAAACGGAGATGGAAGACCTTCACAGTGAGAAGACCATCATAGTGACTTAGTGCACTGCACACACACACGTGTATATATATATATACAAATTTTATACACACTGTGTAAACTTTGTCAGAGTAATCCAACGATCGGTGGTAGTGATTGCGGCCTTCGCTTGAGGTCACCCTTGCTGCTTCTTCTTTGGTTGGGGCTGTAGATGTGCGCGCGCAGGTGCGTATGTGTCCAGAAACCATGTCACCTTTGCCTTTGCCACAATGCCGCAACAATGCCAATATCAAACATATAATGTGCTTAAATAAATTATCTAAATCTTGAGCGGTTAACAAAAGATCATGCATGCACACTTACATAATCAATTGTGAGACTTCCCAGCCTATGCTGATTCCTAGGCAGCCAGGTACATATGTTTTCCCAGGCCTTCGTTTAACAGACTGTGCTTGCCACCGGTGCTCTTTGCTTGCAGGCACCACGAGCAAAACGAGGGGCAACTCACTCTGAGTCATTGCTGGATGCTGCGTCGGAAAGATGATGTTAGTATATAGTTATCGTAGCTTCATGCTGGTTGTTTCGGCATTGTGTGCTACAGATAGTTCACGTAGTTGACACTCACTGCTTGACTACTGGCAGTGCTGTACCTCGTGACATTTCGGAGAGCCTTTGCCGTTGCATACTTTTGAATACTTGTGATATTGCGCCGCATTCTGCATAAAGTAGATAAAGTAGTTTAGGGTGCCCACCCTGCCTGGAGTCTGGAAGAGATGGTTTTGATCCGCAGCCAGTCGAGTTGTGCTGGTGCCATAGCTCCAATCAATGTCACATCCAAGGAGCTACAGAGTGACTGGCTTCCCAGTGTAAGGAGGTGCGACTCCAATCCGGGCGGTTGACTCAATCAATCCCAGAAAGACCTGAGACATCCTGGGTTGAAACAATTCCATAGTTCCTTTTCCAGACCTTCTCCAGTTCCGAAGAGTCTTCTGAAGGCGTACCGAGAACGAGGCCGAGGCCTGGGCGTGGGAGAGGAAACGCGGTCTCGGTGCTGGGGGGACCGCAGGCTTCGGTCTGGCTGGGACAATAAGAAGATTTTAGGAGAGGAAGAGTACTCTATATATCTCCAAATCGGCCACAATGTTCATCAATGTTCCACATATATTTACACATATATATATATATGTTTTTGTATGTTTTTGTGTTCAATGTTTGCAGTCTCATGAAATCTGTTTCCTGCTTTGCTTGTGACCTTCTTTAGACTGGATTTGCATTGTCCCTTCACTGTTCTCCCGGGAGATGCTAAAGTTATATAAAGTCCTTCGCAAACTGGAATCTTCCATTCTTCGAAAGGTGTATGCAGATGCATGTTTCATGAGACATGCTTGTCAATGCAGCACAAATTCATTGAATGCATATGCAGATGCACGCTAATAGCTCACCCGCTTCTGTCAACCCTTTCCTGGACCCTCTACACTTTCTCATGCATTGCTTCTGAAACAAGGATAGTTTCTCAAACTCAAATGTGTGAAACATAGCTTCAATTTACCTTCATCCGCCTGCAGGTGCCTGCAGCTTTACTCCGCTCGGAGCGGATAGCGAAGGTGGTGTCAGATCAGGGTGACATCAGTGCCACGGCCGATGTTGATCGGTTACGATAGCTGAGGGTTCACACAAGCCAAGCTGTGTGAACCAAGCCTGAAATCGCTCGTGCATCGGCAACCTGAGGTGCCTCAAGTGACGATCCTTCGGGATCGGCAACCATCCAGGACTTGCTCAAGGAGGAGTTGGCAAAGCAAGAGACGCTTGGTGCACGATCTCTACATATGAGTTGAAAAATGCTGGAAGAAGAGAGGGCCTTTTAGAGTGGCCCTCATCTTGTTTTATTCCTCGATTCTATTTTTCATATTAACTATACATCTATAGGCCCTCTCTCTTCGGGTCTTGCCCTGCCCATCTACAACCCTATAAAGCCTTCTGCACACTGCAGCATTTTGTAGCCCAGTAACCAAGTAGATGTATACCATACATATATATATAAATTATGAATGAGTACTTTACGCGCGCATACTCCGCATACTCGCACACACACACACCACACACGACACCCGCGGCGCTCCGCACTTTGGGGTCATCGCGTCTGACTGCAACCCTGTACAAGATGGCCTTTGGCTGTCAAATTGCTGCCGTACTTCCATTTTGTATGTGTGACTTGACGAGACAAGGAAAGAGGCCAAAGAGCGGTTGAACATCCCCAAGGCGAGAGGAATTTGGTGCAGATTTGCTTGACCAGAATTTATTTCTTGGGCTTTCAAGCGGAAATCCCACAGGAGTTGGCACAGTTCGGTTGGCTACCTGGCCAGGTGGCAGCATGCGCCGGCACAGAAAGAGGCTTGGTCATGGCGTTTGCTTTCTTCCTCTACACAGTGTGAACTATCCTGCTGTGTATGATTTCATTCCAAGGACATTCTATATATAACAGAAGGGATATTTTTTGCATGTGTTCAGTCGCGGGCCCCTGCAGGTTCAGTGCCTCATGGCTTCTCCTTCCCCGAGAACTACCCTTCAGATCCAGCCCTTGGGATTGATGACCAGTTGCAGTGATCAAATTTCGAGCCTTCTTGTGAGCTAGCGGCAGCTAGCCGCTAGCCCCAGTGTCATGGAGTTCTTCATGCATGTATGACTGGAAAGCTAAGGCATGGACGGTTAAAGCTATTTGGAACGGTCACCTGGCACCTGGCAGTACTTGTGCTCTGTGGTGGTTGCTGCGTTGGTGATCCCTTTGTCTAAGCATTCTTGAACCGCGACCAATCAAGGCAACCAGGCTGGGCTCTATGGCCCTGAGGTGCAGAATGCCAGATATGTGGCAGTGCCTTGCCAGGGTTGGAGCACGTGGTCCTGTGTAGCCTCAAGAGGGTTATATAACCAGGAAATGCCAGGAATGTTGCTTCCGTGAGATATGAGGGCAGCAACAGCGGCGCTAGCCACCTCAGGTGACCTTGGCAGAGCAACAGCCCAGTGGAGGATATTACTACCTCGTGTCGGAGTCCCAGTTGCATCCTTTGAGTGGGTGTTTTGCATGGGAAAGCCTCGCTTTCCTGGCCAGGTTTGGCGATTCCTTAGCCGCCATCAATACCAAGTTGGATTTGCCAGTCTCGTGGCAACATTTCCGGTGAAACATGCAGATGAGTTTGGACAATTTCATTTGTTATGGATTTTGCTGTTTGGTGGCGCCAATGTGATTGCAGATGTCGTGGAAGGACGTGCTGCCATGCAAAGCACTGATAGGAAAAGCTGAAGCCAGAAGCTCCCGCATGAACAGCTAGAAGCTAGAACTCTTGCAGAGTAGAATACCTCTCAGGACATTAAGAACATCTAAGAACATGAACATTTACGTCGTTTCATGCAAAGAGGCATCACCAATGTTGTTCCAGCACAACTTCTTTGCAATTCTAGTGAACATTGAACATGATGTGCCTTCAAAAGCAGCAAATGCCCCACATAGATCTGCTTGGTTCACGAAAACTAGCGCTGTCAAGTAAGCCTCATTGCAGACAAGTCCATGACATGATGCCTTCTTAGGTCATTCTCGTACGTTGGCTGCACATGCAAAGGCAACGCAAGAATTCTGAACAGTGGCAATGAGGAAATTAGAATCAGAACCAGCCCCATTACGCAGTGTGCACAGCCCATCATCACCGAAACCAGGCTACCAAATGTAAAATGCTCCCAACATCTCCCAACATCTACCAATCACTGACCGCACCGTTCTGTGGGGGTTGGGGGTCTTCATTTCGGCCGTTCCTCCTGGTTCCTTTGAATTCTCATCTCGTCTTTGTGGCTAAGATGAGCGACTGCGACTTTGGCGATGCCAAAGGGGAATTCATCAGAACGGGAGCGCGGCCAGATTCGGAACCTCGAGCCAAAGGCAACATTACGACCTCCTGGCATGGCCCATCGGCTGCATGCAGAATGCGATTGAGTATATTCCAACATCTGAAGGAAGTGGCATATGATTGCATCCTAGCATGAACATCACGGATATGTGCATCCTAGCATGAGCAGGCCTTGGGGGTGAATCCTATTCAATGCTACTAGTAGCAGGCATTCATGGTTTCAGTCTACAGGATCAAGGCTCTTGCTAATTGGTGTCTTCAGGCACAACCTGGCGGGTCTACGAAAACCCCGTGCCCGGCTCAGCCCATGCTTGCCATAAGCGACTCCGCCAAATCAGGGGCTTTCTTCTGGCCATGCCAACGCGGAGACAGTCCCATGGGGTGCATGCATGCGCCATTTTTAAATATCTACTGTATATTTACTGACTATATATATAGTTATATATATATATTTATTTATTTTTTGGGTGCAGGGTGTCACCACTTGCCGCCCTTTTGCATAGGGTTCATTGAGCAAAGCATGCCAAGCGCGAAGGTGCCACGCGAGGTCCCAAAGAAGAAGGAGGGCTGCTTGGATGGATTTGGAATTTCCCACGCACAGCAGTGTCATGCTGTCGACTGTTTCCATGTGTTACAGTTCCGCGGAGGGCAGCTTTGGGCCCTCTTAAAGAGTACGGCGTTTGTAAGCATAAGAAGCTACTACTGTAGGGGCTCCTGTCATT